ATATTATATTATATTATATTATATTATATTATATTATATTATATTATTATTATATTGATGCATATGCTATATATGATTCATGCATGATCGAATGTTATGTAAGTGATGCCTCCTTTTCTTGCTCACAGGTTCTGGCAGAAAGTACCAGTTATATGCTATTCACACCAGCAAAGCCTGCAATATACTAAGCAAATACACAGCCTTTGTTCCCATTGACCTGGACACCAATGAATATTTGCAGACATGTGTTGAATACATAAACCCTGGTAAGTAGCTTGGCTTCAATCAGAAGATGTCTTCTCCACCACCCATTGCTCCTCTTTTTTTATTTAAAAATAGACCAAGCAAAATGTAATGCTCTTTTTCGTGGAGATTGTTGAATTCAGGGAGTAGACTGTGATTATTAAAAGGCTGGGTTATTACAACTTTGACATTCTGCATATGTCAAATGTCTAATTAACTAACAAGACAATTCATAAATGAAACTTTTAGGAAAATTAAAGCTGCTTATCAAGTACAAAACTAAATTTACATTATAGATTGAGCTGTTAAAATATGCTACGGGTATTTTGTATGATTAGAAATAGAATATATGCTGAGTTTTGCATCAAAATTAGATTTTAGAAACACTGAGATTGTACAACATTAGAGCCAAATTGTTAGGTAAGTACTTATTGTTTGCATTTTGTTTTTAGCTGAAGGTCTGAAGAGGGGCTCTAAGTCTCGGTCAGGGAGTCGGAAGAACAGAGGCTACTCCATTGGGCTCGGTCGCTCTCAGTCCGGGGGCATGTCAGAAGAAGCTGAAGATGTCCCGCTGCTTAACAGTAAGCCGTATTTTCTTACGTATGCACTTTATTATTAACTTATGTTTCACTCAGAGACCAGCAAAAGAATGAAAAAAATAATGGAAATAATAATATCTCTAGAAGGCCGTATTGAAGATTGAACTTCTCGGAAGGAAAATCATTCTTTGTGGAAAAATTGCATCATGTTTATATATTGACATTTCATTAAACCGGCCTTTATTTGAAAGGGGAAAGTTGCGATCCTACATCAGCAGAACTCTCAGGAAAAAAATTGTGTTCAGTATTAAAAATTCAGCTTCGTCCAAAGGAACACAACATCTTAAAAATGATCTTGGGCGATGGCATAGCAACAGCACGAGCTAAGGCGAGCAGGCTGCCGGAGCAGCTGCCGGCTCAGGCAGGAGGTGCGCAGAGGGCACTCCCGCTGATGAGCTGCATCAGCCATCAGAAAAAAAAGGCTTTCTTCCTAATACTCCTTTTGGGATTCAGAATGATCAAACCTAAAGCGGCGAACATCTGACAGTTGATTGTAAATCTGATTATCGTCCCAGATGGAGAAGACGGCGTCTCTCCGTGCAGCACTCCCTCGTCCGCCGGCTGGGAGAGATGCAGCTTCACAGAGGGTAAGTGTAACAGATCAGGCGGGCAGTTATTTTCATTCCGTCCTTCAATTTTTTTTCTTTCTACAGGACCTTTGACTTACAGCATCTGGTGGGCTGTTGTCATTTACCGGGCAGTATAAGTACATTGCTCTAAAAGTGAAACATGAGATTGTTGACATTTTGGCCCCTCTTCTTTTACGTGATGACACAAGTTGAGTTTTTTTGTTTGTTTTTTTTGTGTTTACATTGACAAACGCAACAATGAGCCCATGCTGAGGGCAAACAGGAGCAATTTCATCTGGAGTATATACAGCTGCTGGAATATATTGAATATCTTTTCTCACTGTTACATCCCAGCGTGTGTGTTGAGAATTTCATTAGGGGACTAATAATGATAGCTAAAAAGAAAAAAAAAAGTCCCCTTTCCATCTCTCTTTCTCTCCCTCCTTTGTCTGACTCTACCTCTGTCTGCTTTTCTGTCTCCAAGTATCCCAGAGGAGTCCGTCTGTGACCTCTGACCAATCGCAGAAATCTGTTGAGAGCCTTTTTTCTGCCAGGTGGGTGAAGTGTGGTTAGCCGGCGGCATAAATATGTAGCACCAAGTTTCAAAACGTGTTTTCATGAGCTCAATGAATTGTCATCATAAACTGTGGCCATGTGATGAAAATGTTAGTTTTTTTTTTCCTCTTAAGATTGAACGTTTAAAGCTAAGTTTGCACCTATGTGAGGCTAACATGGGGGGGGGGGAGTTTTTTTAGTATAAATCTTTTCAGAAAAACAACATCAGTGCACACAGCCAGACAGAAGTAAAATCAAGAAGTAAAATAAAAACACAATATTCAGAGAATGCATTTCACACATTTTGTTTTGTTTATGTTGAAATATATAATATATATAACCAATCTATTAATATCATATTAAGTTTCTTTTTCCCATGTATCGTTTTCTGTTTTTTGTTGCATTTAAAATTTATTTTCCTTTTCCAGTTTTCAGGTTTGATGTTTTTAATAATTTCTTTCTGTTTCCTTGTCTACTTTTCTACTTTTCTCTTTTGTTGTGTTTTTTAAAGTCTGTTTTTTTGTTAAAACACATAGCTTTTTGGGGATTTGATGGGGTCTTTTGAACATAGCAAAAAAAAAAAAAAAATCATCCAGTCAAATCGGATAAAGAAAAAAGCCAAGATCTTGTGCATTGTAAGAATAGAAATTCTGAATTTATAACAGTAATGAGCTGCTCAAATTTGCATGAGCCTCTGATGGTTTAAAAGATTAGAAATCATCCAAATACAGCCTCAACAGCAGCAGCTTAATGGCATTTATCCACAGCACTTAGTGTTTCTGCTTGGAAATACAAGATTCTGATCATTATTATTGTTTTTATTATATGTTGTTACAGTGGAAGTAGAGAAGTAGTCAACTAGCCTTTTAACTAAGCATTAGGAGCTATTTATTTTTGAGCACATCATAAAAAAGTAAACTCATTTCCACTAATTAATTAGTAATTTAATATATGTTTGAATTTCAAAGTCATCACTATTCCTTAAAGGATTCTGATTCAATATGTATTTGTCAGGGGACAAGAAAAATGTCTGTACATGTTTTCATTTGACTGAATAACGAGACTGCTCACTAATCCGGACTGTTTCAGTAGCTGCTTTATTTAAGATGAGGTGAATAGGTACACTGAGTCTTTTCCTTTTTTTTTCTTTGAAGATTCCAAACATTAATCAGAGCCTATTCTAATAGAACAGGTGGTGTATGATGTACAGCATACAAAGTCCACCCTGCACCTCACATCTGTGTTCCCCCTCTCCCTTTGTAAGGCTGGCCCTCAGCAAGACTCGCCTCCTGACTCGAGCCGCCAAAGGGTTCATGTGTCGATCGTACAGCAAGTCTGGCGATTCAATCGGAGACAGTGAGAACGAGAACAAAGACTACATTCCTCTGGTGAGTTGCAGATGAAAATGTTAAGCCAACCTTCATGTGGCCTTGGTCCCATTTCTTTTTCTTGGTGCTTTGGTTTTGGTTAATTCATGTTTTGCTTTGATTTTTACTTTGATCGGTTAATCTTTTTCTTGGCTCAGCTCTATTTTGTTCTCGTTTGCTCATTCTCACCCATAGTTTCGGCAGTATCTCTCCTTTGTGGCCATCAGAATTTAAGCCCCCCTTTAATCCTCCAGTCATTGACAGATCCCTGCCATAGAGTTGTACAACATGATCCATGAGCCTCTATTCCTTCTAGGTCCACTTCTTGTTTGCAGTCTTCTGTTTTCTTTGGGTTTTTGTGATCCAAGTTTAGTTTAGATGTTTGAACTTGGTTGCTCTTGCCTTTTTTATGTTTTACCTCTTGACAATTAACTTTTAGATCTACCAATTTCTGCCGTCCCTCAGCATGTTAGCTGATGGACATTTTATGAATCTGCTTTTATTACTAACATAAGCCGTATCTGAACAATGATATAAAGAATCTGTCTCTCTTTCTTGTTTTAGAATTGTAATTACAATTTAATTTTCAGCCTTAAAAGCTCATTTTCCATGATGAAAATTAGGGTTAAAGCAATATTGGTGCTACATATAGAATCCTGACAAAGAAAGTGACAGAAGCTCATACCTGCTTGTCCGACTTCTGCTTTCCAGCTTTGTTGGAAATATTCCATCTTTCAGTAATGAGTAGCTGCAGAATGGATACCCTCAAGAAATACGTATTCACTAATGAGTATTTCCTACTTCTTAACAAGGATTCCTTTTTGCAAGGCACCTCATAACAAGCAGCTGATTGGAGCAGTAAGTCAAGCCTGTTTTCAAAGAATACAGAGTAATGCAGATGAAAAGAAAAACTGCCCACTGAAAACAGGTTTTCAGTTCATATTAAGTTTAAGGAAAGGAACAATAAATGTCTTGGGTTAATAATGAGGCCTCTTGCCCAGTGACAGTAGCAATAGGAGCCAGAAGCTGGGAGCCGGTGCCTCCTAACAGTTACAATTTTTGCCCCTACTCGGCCAGCCGACGATTAGCCAGGGAGTCACGGGATTGCTACTGTCCGATTTCATGATTGCTTTGGTCAGAGCGCTGTAGGGCTGAGTATGTTGCAATGGAAAACCCCCCAGGAGAGTCTGTGTGAAAATGTCTTTTATTTTTAGATGTTTTCCATATCCTGCCACACTATCCGATTTCTGCACATCCCATTTTCACAGGTTCTGTTGCAGTTAGCTAGCGGTGCTTTCCCCCTGGACTCGGCTCTGTGTGAAGCCATTAATGTACCGATGGACAAGCTCAAATGGACGTCCCCCTTCACCAGCCACCGCAGCAGTCTGGGCCACCAGTCTCACTCCAGCAGCCGACGCACCGACAGTAGCGATGACGGTTTGAGATCCACGTTTGAACACGACATGCATCTGCTAGCCGCAGAGCACGCTAGTCCGACCAAGCACGCCTGGCCCGACGCCGGGCTCTCCTCACTGGTTGGTCCACCCGCTTCAGGTGAGGTTCCCCTCTCCCCACATCTGAGTTCGATCCTAGGGAGGATGGAAACGGTTTCGCCCGGCGGTGTTTCGAAGAGGGCGCAAGATCTAGAGAGTCTGGTGTGGGCGACGGCCGTGGCCCTGGCCTGGCTGGAGCACAGCTCTGCCAGCTATTTCATCGAGTGGGAACTGTTGGCCGCCAAAGCCAGCATGTGGCTCAGCGCGCAGGACATCCCAGAGGGAAAAGATTTAGCCTCCATAAAGGCTGCTGCAAATCAGCTCTTCATCATCCTCAGACACTGGGATGAAAACCTCCAGCTGAACATGCTCTGTTACAACCCCAACAGTGTCTGAGAAAACCCCGAGTTGAGCAAGGACGCATGCGGCTGAAGGTCCCGTATAATACTATGCTAACCGAGGCTTTGCTACTCACTGCCAGACAGTTTCCGCTCTGGAGTCTGAATTTTGCCGTTACCTTTGTGAGCAATGTCCCGTTCGTGTGGTGTTCCTCAAAACATATCACAGGCTCTCAAGAGATACTTTGCGCAAGCTGTTACCTCGCTGGTGCCATAAACAGTAGCTGGATCTCTATTAGCGAGAGATCACGTTGAATTATGCCACAGACTTGAACTTCAAGAGAAACGTCAGTGTTAAAGTCACAGCATGTTGGACCACTGACCTTCAACATACGAGAAATGCTATTATTGTCATCATATTGATGTTATTAGTGGAATGCTGCAAAACAGTGGGAAGAGAAAACCATTCGATTGTATTGTCACTTACTGTCGAGACATCTTTACTACATTATCTAAATTGGTCATACTGTGGAAAACATCTGGTTATTTAATAGCTGTACTGTCACTTCCCACTTGTTGGTTTCTATAGTGATGCTGTTAAAACTTGTTATTTTAGTTTACCTGTAGCAGAGACATCAAAATATGCAAAGTGTTAATGAAAACCATAGGTGTCTGTATGTACGTATTATAAATGTGGTATAGGTGGATGTCTACAAATGTGTAGCTCACAGCATGTAATCTCCTGTTTATCACCAAATGTAATAGGTTCCAATCAAGCCTTTTTTTCTATTTAAATGACATAAAAGACCAAGAGAAGGCTGGAGAAGAGGTTTGCAATCACAAAATTAGCCTACTTATGAGTAAAAGATTTCAAATACTAGTTGATATTTAATCAAACAAGTAAATTTGCTGTGATGGTTGGCCGTAGTAATCTCACACAAACCCTTAGACTGTTGCCTGTTCAAAGCCTGGATTCGACCTTTCAGAAGGGAATTTGCATGTTAATCTGAAGTATATTAGCCCCATAACATTAAATGGTGTAGCACAGGATACATTACTGATTAGAGGTGGTGAGACCTTTTGATAGATTTCCTAACAGCTGGTGCAAACCAATTTTGTGGAATGTTGAGCCATCACAGTGCTGTCCTGGCAGTCTGCTAGCTGTAATCGTCCTGTCAGATTTACCAAAAGTGCCTGAACAAGGTAGAAATTGATAGAATTCTATATTTTCCACTTGATATAATCAGAGAATTCTTTTTAAAAATATCAACTAATCTATGGGCTTGTTGTTGTGTTGCAAAATCTAGCGAGGCTGCATTATGGGTAGCTTGATTGATTATGTCAGACAGAAGTCCGTAGTTTTAAATTAAGGTCATGAGATGCCATTTAAAGGCTGCTAATTTTCTAACTTGGCATAAAATATTGACATTTTTGACTGTTAATTTTCTTTTGATTCTGAGTAGGCAGTTGGCCATGATTGATTTTGACACTTTGACAGTTTTTAAGATTTTTAACTTTGTTCAGCCAACGTTCAGTTCCATAATAGCTCCTCGTTTTTGTGTCTTCTGTGCAGCAGTTGCAATGCCTGGAGCCTTTTCTCTCATTAATGTTAGCTGGTGTAGCAAATGATATCTGTTGCACCATGTTAAATGGACTGTGACATTTCTTCTTTTCTTCTTAAGTGGGATTGTGTATGAGCAGTCATTGTCTTACACATCATAGAAAACATCCAGAAATGTTTGTCTTTGGAGAAACTGAACTGACTACTCAACCTTTTTTTCATCTTAAGCAACATAATTATATATTTGGTAAACTTCCCAGAGTCATTTACATTTTTTTTAAATCAAACTGTTGCTTTATTTAGTTTTTTCTTCTGAGGACCTTATACGTTGCCATATTCTGGCATTCACAATGGATTGACAGAAAATCACACTTAGAATTCAGCTAGTTAAAAACTCTTCAACAGCCTTCAAAAAACTAAAATGATTCAAACTTTAATAACACAGATTTACAGTGAAATTATTTGGCTTAGGTGCTTGAGTGCTTAGTGTAAAGATAACGCTCAATGGTGTTTGTGTACTTGAAATGACAAACATTACCCATGTTTAAGCTAGCTCTTAGCCTAGCTCCACTGTCAGAATTTTTTTTCAATTTTACTCTCAATTGAGAGCGTTCTAATGTCAATTCCAAGGGACACAACAATTGTATCACCCCCCCCCCTCCCCCCTCCCCCACTGAATAAGAAAAAAATGGCTAAAAAGGCTTTTTAATATCCTATAAATGAACACTGCAGCAACTCGAGAATGTTAGCCTATCGCTAGTGTAACAAATGTTATCTGTTGAGCTTCACAGCTGCACTGTGGTCAATGTGAGATTATGTACAAGCTGTCTAGAATTACCCAACACGTACTAATGTTATTGGAATCGATGTCAATGTCTGACTTTTTATAAACATCCTGGGGCCTTTGAAAGCATGGGTAATCTCAGAAACTCTCAGACTTTTCTGAAGTAAAATCTTTTTTTCCCCCTGTTCTTTTTAAGTGTAAGATTTCTGTTGAGTTTGAGCAGCAAATAATTTTGCAGATTTATCCTTATTTCCTTGACATTGTGGACAAAAGAGTGTTTAAAAAAGATGTAAGCATTTTTGTACAGCTCGCCTTTCATTGCATGTTTATTTTTTAGGTCAGTATCACTAAAGTGACAACTTGTGGCACTTAAATGGAATCCTGGAAAGAGTTGTCCATCTTTTTTTTATTTTATTTTATTTACTTTTTATATCCTGTTCTATCACTTGGTAGAGCATTTTCCATCATTATAATATACCAACTTAAAGCTAGTGAAAGTAAACCTGTCTGAGTAATCTTTACTCAGAAGGGGTTTATTAGATGGTAATAGGTTTGCCATGAGGTGACATCTTAAACATACATACATCCATTTCCTATACTGCTTATTCCCTAATGGGGTCGCGGGGGGCCTATCCCAGCAGAAAATGGGCGAGAGGCAGGGTACACCCCGGACTGGTCGCCAGTCAATTGCAGCGCCACACAGAGACAAACAACCATATACCTTCACTCTAAAGAGCATGTTTTTGGACCACAGCCACAGTAAGAACATGCAAACTCCATACAGAAAGCTCCTGGTTCCATCTCAAACATGTTCCAAAAAAAAAAGAAAAAGAAACAACTAACTAACTTAGCTACAACTATATTGAGAAGAGGATAAAAAGGAAAAGAATCCACAGCCGTTTCTTTCATGAACACGTTGAAGGCATTTTCCGATAATGCTTCAAGTCCATTTAACCATGCAGTGATAATTCTTTGTTTTCTTTTCATGTTGCTTTACTCAGGTATTTGTCTCTTTTTCCCCCCTCAGGCTGAATTGCATGTGCTCCTCTGCATGAACACAGGTGTTTACATTTGACTGTTTAGCAGTTTTCAGAGACAGTAGTGCAGTATTTTCCTCTCACATGAGAAGTACGACGTGTTATACGGTAATATCTTTGTGCCTGTAATTGCAATTGTAAGTGCAGCTGCAACCGTAAAATGTTTGATTTTTTTAAATGTAAGGAGTCAGTCGTACAGTGCATTATTTTTCAACTTGCTGTCTGTGCCTTTATAGATAACTGTCCAACATTTAGTATTAGTAGTTAGTTAGTAGCATCCGTTGTGTATTAATTACTGTTGATGCTATATCCAGCTCTGCTGGTGCATGTAATAAATTCTACAACAATAAATATGTTGCAGGCCTTTTTTTTTTAGTATAGACAATACGCCCCTACAAAAATAAGCTGGTAGACACCCAGTGATTTATGAGGCGTTTCGCGGTTTCCCTATAAATACCACACTGCCCTGCCTGCGGTGTGTAATGCCAAATCAACTGTCCAGCCTACCCTGCAGCTCCCTATGGAAGTTTGGGATGGCACATTAATGAGGAATGCTCATGTATACATCTAGGACTGAGCCAGGTCTGGAGGATTATACTTTTATTTGGGGCTTGGGATCATGGTGGAAGGTCTTGCTGTAATGTTTCTCTCATTAGTTGAGTAACTCTGCATTTTATCATTGCTTTGATGTCCAAATAATTATAGCGGAACATAAGAATCCATTTAATTTACCGGCCAGCATGGTTGTAAGTAAATTTAGCAACATTTGTCAACTATTCCAATGTTATTAATGTTTGTTGTTTTTAGTAATTATGTCAGTCATCTTATAGGTATATATACTTTTTAAATCACAAAATGCTTTTTAAAAATGATTTTGGATGATGTAAATTCATCCTCAACAATTTATAATCAGGACACATAGTAAATAGTGAATTATCATTCGAATCTCAAATTATGAAACAGAAAATAAATACTATTTAATACTATTAAAATTATTTTCGCCTTCTGCTGCAGTTTTTTTTTGTTAAGGACGGCAAATATTTTTCTTCCTGCACTCTAAATGACACCAAACATTATTTCATCCATTTTTCCTTTTTTGCCAGTACCTCTTGATATTCTTTCTTTAATTTGTTGTTTAGTTCTAAACAGACTGGTTGACTCAATGAAAATCTCCACAGATCACCTCACATTAGAGCCTTTGTTTGAAAATTGTTTTAATTGTACAGGTCCATACGTCCTCAAAATAATCAAGAAATCATTGAAGCCTGGTTATGTTCCCACCCATAGCTAATATACATGTGTGTATATATATATATATATATATATATATATATATATATATATATATATATATATATATATATATATATATATATATATATATATATATATATATATATATACTGTATGTGTCCGCCAGTTTTCTGGTGTAAGTCCTCCATCGAATGTGCTTTATCAGTTTTTAATGAGCTGTGCAATCTTTTTTAAAATATTGCCAAATTAAAACAAATGTCATCTCTAAGCACTCAAAAAGTCAGATTGAACTGAATTAAAAATCCAGTTATGTCAACTTTGTGTGGTCTATCTAGTTAAATTACCCCATTCCTGAAAGTGCACAATATAACAGTGCAAAGAAAAAAGTGTTTAAATCCTTTTGGTTGTCAGAAGCAGACTCAGGAAGTGTGGCCATTTGCCTAGACTGTCACGTCAAGGGGGATGTCCGGTGTGTTGTCAGGTGTGTTGTCATGTCTTGATTACTTATTGTGTACACCTGGGGTTCCCCTCCCTCATGTGTTCAAATAGACCTCGTTTCCCCTGTCCGGTGCTAGTGAGTTTTCGTCACTTTGTGTTTCGTCATTTTTGCTTTTGTGTCTTCGTCGACTTGATACTTTGCCATAGTCTTGTTTACTTTTAGTACTTTTTGCCATATCCTTGTTAATCTTGATTTGATACTTTGTTCATAGACTTTTTACTCTTACTTTGATACTTTGTTCATAGTTTTGTCACAGCCTTGTTTTTGTTTTTGACATGGACCAGCTGGGGCTTGAAGGACAATAAGAGGGGCAACTTCTGCTGACATAAGGGAGAGAGATTAGAAAATGGTGAGTTTGCGTAAAATGAGGGAAGGGGATTTAGGGCAGATGAGCGGGAAACGACACATATTATACAGTAAAAAAGAGAGGAATCAGTGTGGTGCTATTTACCATCTCTATCCACACTTTAGAAAGAAAAATGGGCTCAGTTAAAGTGTATAGTACTGTAAATTGTACATGAAAAACAGATGTATGTCTCTAATGTTTAATAAAGTGTTTTATTGGATCAATTTAGTTCCATTCACTGTTGCTAAGCTACTAAGTTATAGGAGAAAGTGTTTCGTGAACCAAGAAAGAAACAAAGAGTTTTTCGTGCTATAAATGGAAATGTTTTATTTCAGGAGTGATTTATTTGAAAAAGTTAAGATTCCTCTTATTCCTCTAATGATTCGGATACACAAGAAACACTATTTACACACTATTTTTCACCAATTACATGGATTCTATCGTGTGTTATTTTTGTACACTGCACCCCACAGAACAGCCACTGACTGCATAACCGTGTCTGATCTGATTTAACCCAAATTCTATATCATGGTCGTTTAATGTGCACATAAATAGTGGAGAGAAAAAAAACCTCATTAATTGCGCTGTCTGGATGAAAGCTAGCCCAGAAGTATGTTGAGGGGCACAACAAATGACAATTGCTATAAGAGGGGATTACCCGTAGCCTTGGCAACCACTTGTGTTTTGATTTTACAACATTTTCTGTCTGAAGCTGGGAAAAAGCTTTATTTCTCTCTGATTGCATTGATCCGAGCTATGAACACATATCAACACAAACACTGTTGGGAAGCTTGGAAGTGCTTTATAAAAATAGACTTGGTTTCTAAGCAAAAGGACCGTTTTAATTACCAAGTGTGGTCTATTGTTTTGTTTTTTGTTTGACATTTCAATGTTGTTGTTTAGGGTCAGGGTTCATGTTTGTGTGTGTTTTTTATACATACGTTGTTGTTTTAGAAGTGTGATTTATTTTCTGTGCATTATGAATTGACAGCTGATCACAATATTTGATTTATCATTTGTTTTTGGTGCATAATACATTAATTCATTTTCATCTATAAAGCCAAGAGTATGCGAACTATAAAACTAATCATATTTCATAGCAACATTAAAATAACTCATTCAGCAGAATTAATATATCCAGCAGTGAAATTTAAAATCTCACATGCAGCGAGCACAAAGCTGTTTCTTTCGATCTACATTTCTAGGCCAGGGCCCAGCCCAAATTCCAAAGTTTCCCTTCTGCTCTTTTTGATTCACTCCAGTTTTCTTACCAGGGCTCCAACATCCAAATTCAAAGCTTGCAGCCCCATCCAGATGTTGATGGGTGACGCTCTGCCCTAGTGTATGGAGTTTCTCCACTGGAAAACAGAAGGAGATGCTTCGGGGAGTCCTTCCTCTTCAGGTGGGTGGACTCTGTGTGGACCCCTGATGCAACGGGTTCTGCCACTAGTTCCCACGATGTAGTTCCCACTGAGGCGCACCCACCTGGTGACGTTGTGAGTCTGTTGGGGCCATCAACCTGGTGAAGGAGCTGTGGAGTCTTTTGGGCATTGTGTGTTGCTGTGGGTTCATCATTGATGGATTTAATGCCTCCCTAAAGAGAATCACTGGTAGAAAAAAAGTGCCCGTTTTGACTGAGTACGTCCTTGGTTTGGCAAGCCAGATTTTTTGCAGAGCACAATATGTACACAAGGCAATTCAAAGTTTTTTACATCATAAAAGAAGACAAAAAGACAAAAAAAAAGATTTAAACATAAAAAATAATAAGGCCTGGATGTTAAAGAAATATGGCGGTATTCCTCTTACAGCTTGTTTAAAGAGCCTGTTACTGTGTTCTAACCTGCTGGAATCAAACACATAGATGGGTCTAAGTCTGGATTAGACCCTATTTTTTTGATTTGGCAATGTTTTAAATATTTAAAAAAACTGCTGGTGTTATTTATTTGTTGTGGCTGTTATGGTTCTCCTCTAAGTCCAATATCAGCTCCATTTTTCTAACCCTATTATTAGGTTCTAGAGAGAGAGTTTAAAAGTGACTGATTACACTTTCGATTTGTTTCATTGGGCCACAGACAGAGATTTCAGTTTTGGTTGAGTTTAACTGGAAAAAAGTTCTTCTTGTTGTTGATCTGTTCAATACAGCGAAACAATAAATGTACAGAGACACGTAAAAATTAGTGTCATCTGACGGACATTTATGAGGGAACTAATTAGAATCCCCATGTCTTGTGGAAGTACAATTAAGGAAAACTCTTTTTATGGTAATCTATAAGTCTTTTTAAATGCAGAAACACTTAAGCATTTAATTTTATAAAAGGGCACAACACTACTGCATAGGGAAGAAGGAACATTACACAGCTTCAAAAAGACTTCAAAAAGGGAGTTTTGACTTTAGTTAGTCTATATTAGATAGAAGCTGATCAAATAAATAGTCATTTAGCTTTGGAAATGTATGCTTATAAAACTTTTTAACCTTTTCAATTCATTTGAACACCTACATGCCAGTTTCCATGGTTGTGGGAGCTTGCAGGGTGATTTTCCATCTCCGTCTTGTCTCTACTGTTTGGTTAATCTCACTGAGATCACCTTTGTCTTAAATGTGCTTAAATACCCCCCCCCCCCTTTTTTTTACGGGGCAGTTCTTGTGCAAACCTCTCGCAACACTGAAATGTGAAAAAGTGGAGAACAAAAGCAGGAATGTCTTTGATGGCTCCCTGGCTGACAGAGCGGTGACAGCTAAAAGCTCTGTGAGGATGAGCCCCTGAGTTTCCATGGTGTTGGACCGGCGCTGCTGCTTTCATGTTAGGAACACAATGAGCAGGAGAGGTTTGGTAATGCGGGAGTATTGGCAGAACGAGTGACGCGTGCACTTCAAGCGCTGTGGTCTGGTACCACTGTTTGATTTTTGCCCATGTTTGGAAAACCACAGTTCTTCAGATCAGTATTTCTGATAGTGGCAATTTAAGAAGTAAACACTTCTACTCCTCTATAATACATGAGGGATCTGGAAAAAGGAAACACTTCATTTCAACCAAATAAGAAACCTCCATCAGAACCAGACTCAGGGAGGGGGGGCCTCCAGCCCTGACCAGCCAGGGTTTGAGAGGACAGAAAAGAAGGACAGAAAAAAGAAACATCAGCTCAGACATTCCTGCTGAAATAAAAAAGAGAGACACATGTTAAAAGACAACAAGGGAGCATGGCGACATTTTTCATCATGGAGTAAAAGGAAAAAGGAGAGCAGAGTGACAGTAAGCGTACCATCAGAGGTCCCTCAGCAGGCTTGGACTATGGCAGCATAACTGTGGGATCAGAATCAGGGAAATTATTTAAGTTTTTCAATGTTTCAGGGTTACCAGAGCCATCCCTGACTGTAAGCGTAGTCAAAAAGGAAACTTTTTTAAAGCCGTATAAAAAGACGACAAAGATAAGCAATGTTTAAAAACCGTGTTTTCTCAGACAAAAACTGTAGAAAGAAAACTCAAGGATGGGTTAATTACCTATGCTTCAATACCTCAATGCTTTTTATTGTTCCTCTGGCCCAACAAATCATCATCAGCTATCAGCTTATAAGTGAACCCATGATAAAAGCCTCAGAAAACACCCATTAGTTTCAATGTGGTGTGTTGGAGCAGGCTAAAAGAGCTCTCAGGGTACTTGACGTCCTTTTTGGAACGAGCGTGCTTCACAAAAGGCCCAGTGGATCCCCTCAGCTCTGTCCTGTATCTGCTGTCCCCCCCAGCCAATAGCTGTCGGAATATGTCAGCCTTCAATGCAAAGGATTCATCTTGTGCTATTTGAGTCTGGATTTTTCTTCAAGCAGTTTACAATAGACACACAAACAAACGCACAACTTAAAAAAGCTGCATGCATGTTTCTTAACAGTTGGTAAGAAACAGCTGGACTGGTTTTAGGACGGAGTCTGCTACTGGTTCCTCCAATAAGGAGCTTGGCGTTCGCTTCTCGTTTTTTTTTTTTTTTTTTTTCACGCTCATCTGACATTTAGCTCCGGCTCCATCAGAGACCAACCGGCCAATCGGCTCACTCCTGCAAAAGTAGTTATCTGAAGACTAGCTGCTGAATACTAATGCCGTCTTGACTCCAAAGTCCGGGAGGTCATGCTAAATTAAACACCTGAGCTTTGATTGGCATAGTGCAAGATGATCAATTTTCATTTGAAAAAAAATCAATAACTGAATTCTTACTAGTTTAAACTACTTTGAAATTAATCTCTAGCACCTTCTCCGGCTGACGGTTTGCTCTTAAGTTATCTAACCGATGTGCTTAAACAGTTACCTATTTGAAATAAATAAAAATAATGGATTGTGCAATCATTTCAAACCCTGTGCATGGTCTTAAAATGAAGAAAAACTAGCCATTAAATCAACAATCAATCAAAAATGTTATTACATTTTTGTGGGTTGATTTTTATGCCTATTCATGCTCTCTACTTCCAAGTCCACCAGGCTGGATTTTTCCACCCGGGCACACAACCCCCTCTGCCGGTGGAGCTCCCCACACCGGGCCTCACTCCGTCATGGGGAAATAATTGAACTGACACCGCATTCATTTTCTCTGGAGCACATTTAACTTTAATGATGTTTCAGTTGCAAACAGACAGTGAGCTGATTTCTATTTCAAACCATTAGCATGTGTGTGTGTGTGAGAGCCGCTGTCAGAAAACAGAAAAACAACCCGTACGATAATCCCACCACCACTCTTTTCAGATCGGGAACACAATCTAAAACGAGCTGCTGAGACCCGATAAAGCCACTTCTTCTACAGTTAAGGCAGAGATGAATTTCTAAATCTATAAAATAAAAATAACCCAAAACCCCGAAAATCAATAAATCAGAAAATCCTTATAAAATTAAACTGTTCTTTAGAACTAAGGAGCGTCTTGCTGTTGGAGAAATGGTTCTCGTCGTTTTGCATTATAGTTGCAAGTACAAAGCCACTTCGAAATAAATACAAGTGCAAACACAACCAATCAGAGAAGCAGCATTTTCTTTCCTTCTCTTTCTATTTTTGCCTACCGTGTTAAATTCATCTGGTTGTGGGTAGTCTGGTTTCTTTCCCCTTTTTCTTGGTGTGGAAGCTGTGACTGACAAACATTTCCACTTTATGATCATGATATTAATAAAACTTTGGTGTAAATGTGGCTGACAGAAGAGGGAACGGGAGAGCTGTGGACTGCTGAACGCCCTTAAAGGTCCGGAGGGAGCGATGAAGAATATCTGAACCCGTCTCAGACAGAGCTCTTAACTCCTCAGATTGATTGTTGTCTTAGGCTCTGGGAGTGGGTCTGAGCTTTCTCCGATCGATGTCCGTCAGCTTTGTGTCTGGTTTCTTCTTTTTGGAGGTGGTGGGAATAATTTCCCGGTCAATGTGACTCCCTTATCCTCCCGATGGCAGTTTTGACTGTGTGGCTGGTGGTTGACAGGGGGCCCTAACTCTGGGGGCCCTGCCTCTGGGGGCCAGACCTGTCCTAGCTGTTGTAGAGCGGCACCATCCTGTCGATGGGGGCCCTGCAGATGGGGCACTTCTTGGGCGGGGGCAGGGCCTCGTAGCACTGGGCGCAGGCGCACACGTGGCCGCACTCCAGGAAGACGCAGGAGCGCTGGCGGCTCAGGCAGACGCTGCAGCTGCCGGGGGCCACGCTGCCCTCCTCCACCTGCAGCTCGCGCATGCGCCTGCGCTGCTGCTCCTTGAACTCCTCCAGCAGGCTCCGCTCCTTCCGGCTGCGCCGGCAGTGGGCGTAGCGCTTCCACAGGATGTAGAGCAGCGTGGAGCAGGCGGCCACGCCGAACACCAGGCTCAGCACCCTCCACAGCCGCACGCTGCCGGCCTGCTTCCTCAGGAGGGACTCGTAGTCCAGCCGGGTCAGGAAGTAGCAGAAACCCGTCTTGGGGGGCTGCAGCTTGATCAGGTTGTTGTCCAGCACCAGCTCGCCCACCCCGGTGACGCTGTCCCCCACCCGCAGCATCTCCTCCGTCTCGTGGATGCCCTTGGGCCGCTCGCCGCTGATGAAGTGGCCGATCACGTTGGACAGGGACTGGACCGTGGGGTGGAAGTTCTCGTAGGTGGTCTCCAGGTCCAGCTCCGCGGCGTCCAGCGGGCGAATCACCCGCACCGCCTCGGCGATGTCCTCATCGTGGGATCCCAGGGAGAAGGGGACTGTGTTGGTTCGCTGGTGGATGACTTTCTCTGTGCTGTTCCTGTTCAGACAAAGAGTAATAAGTTACATAATATCTGATTGGAATTACGATGTCTTAGAACTGACCCATTTAAAGCTTAACCAGGAACATCTTTTAAATGAGGCATGGGCTGGATGATGTGTAGTCTGTTTGAATGATTATACCCATATCATTTCCAAAGAGATCCAGAAGAAGACAGCATTAAGTTCATGTTGTGATAAACTTATCAAAGAGGGGCTGGTGTGCTGAAACCTTAATATCTATAGCAGCTCCAGAAAGTTCAGCATGAGGAGAGTATATAGTCTGCTAAAACAACTCAGTTTAAAACTCAATTGCATATGCTGTGTCCAACAAAAGAAAGAGCTATGGAAGTGGTCCTTATAGGGACAGACTTCTTAAGCCCCTAAAAACAAAGATGATAGATGAACATATTACTTCAAGAAGATTGTATTTAATTAGCTTGTTTGGGCTCCATCTTGCTGCATATAGCCCTGCATGCACCTTCTCCATTTTTTTTTAAACATAACATATCCCCTAAGTCTGGAGACTGCCCAAAAATACTGACAATGTGGATTCTTTGCTATCTTTATAAACTAGAAAGTGCGTTTCCTGACAAGCTAATCAGAATCTACACGCAGTTATAGTTCAAACAAACATCTGGAGCAGCCTGTACTGTCGTTGATGGAAACCAGTCCAGCAAAAGGTTGAAACAAAGCTTGCATGCTTGGTTAATTTAGCCACCTCTTGTACTGTACTCAGCCTGAGACCTTGCATTTCTATTTTCAGCTTGCACTTTTTCCAGTCAAACAAATTTGAAAAAGGATGATAAAACGCTTCCTTTCCCCCCACAACGGCTGGGAGAAGCGAGCGTGCGGCAGCTGTCCCGGTTTACGGTGAAAAACAGCAGCAGCACTGGCTCAACTGTGACATTTCCAGATTTGTTTACATGCCGTTCTATGTGTTGCAGCTAATTGGCTGCCAAGCCTCCAAACTGAAAAACGCTAGTGGCTCCTCTGTCACCATCTGTTCTGGGCGGGATTTAAGCCACTCTATAAAATCACATCCTCTATCTGACAATCATCTGGAGGTTCAATTACGAAGGCAAACTATAAAAAAAATAAAAAAAACACTTAATTGTTTTGCCCTTTGAGAACAGATTGGCTGTAATTAGCTTTACACCCAGTCACAAATCAACTTCATTGCACTAACCACAGGTGAGTGGTTCGATTCCACACCATCTTCTCCTCCTTCAGCGTCAGCCTCTCGATGACGCCTTTGCAGTTCTCAACAAACTGGCTGCTCAGAGTCTCCTTCACAGACCTCACCACACCTGCAGAGACACACGGGCAGCCCTGAAATATCATCAGCTGCTATGACGCAAATAACGTCCTCTAACGGAGAAAAGAACCTCCGTTAGGACTTTAAAAGTGGCCCTCGAACCTTCGATGACAGCGTATGGAACGCATCTTCCGGGGGTTTCTGACAGGATATTTTTCAAATCCTGATCAATGGAGATTTTCTTGGCTTCCTTTGGTAGAATGAGTAAAAAGAACATTTGAGCATGAAGTGACCTAAATGTGCATAATTGTCTCAAACATGCAAAAAAAAGGGTACAAAACAACCTTTAAACTGGCAACTGTTTTGGCCCTGCTCCTGTAGATGGAGTAGAAGATGGCCGTCAGGGCAGAGCTGGTGGCTAAAACCACAATCTGGGCAGTTGAGGGTTTTCCACCAGACTCCATCCTGCTTCCGGCAGGATCCAGCCTTACTGTGGGAGAAGTAAGTACAACTGACAGGAAAAAAAAAAGATCATCAGTCCTGCTCCACAAATCAAAGTAATCTATCCTATTTATTTTTACTACACTTCACTGTACCTTTATAACAGAAGAGTCTTAGTCATGCTGAAAGAAACAAAAGCGAAATTACTTCCATGTAGTAATATTTTCTCAACTAACAACCTGCCATTTACTCCTGAAATGCCTCAAACAAGGCTATCGTTTTAAATTTGTTATTTTGTCTCCATTTAACAGGATAGTTTGTCTTAGAAAAAACTTCAACTTAAACTATAAGCTTGTCCTCTAATTCCCCCCTCAATTTTGAGCATATTCTCATAGGGACAGCTCTGTTTCTATGAGAATAACTGTCACAAAACAAAATAAACTTTAGTTAACATAAAAATCTAACAGCTGCTGACTGTTACACAATAACCCAGCTCTGTGATGCCAAGTTTCTGAGTAAATACTGTCCCCGTCTTGCTGTTGAATGCACGATTTAGCTACAGCTATGGTTAGCAATTCTGTTAGCCAAATTAGCTCCCTTCGCTGCACATAGCCGCTAGCTCGCATGCTATGCTTGGGTTACAAGGTAAACGAAAGGAAGGTGTTTTTTACCTTTACCCGAGGATATTCCAGCTTTCGCGTTACAAATTACCGCATTTAGTAAAACGTTTTATCATCTTCATTTACCTGTAGTCACCCAACAAGAGCGTTTCTTCCGCACAGCACATTCAATATTTACAACACGGACATGTAATTCCACTTAATGCCAGTAGATGGCAGCGCAACTCCATTAGTTAACACGACGACGAAGCAACTTAATTTTTCTTCTCTTTTTTTGTTTTTTTTACCAGAGCTGAAGCTAAAACAAGCTCTTAAAAGAGAGAAAACATGGCAGTTAAAAGGTAAATATTTTTTATATTTAATTTGTATATACAGTATAACGTGTCTCCCTTTATCTGCAGTCTGAAACCTTTCTCTAGCAAACGGAAAATGTTGAGCCTGAATAAACTAAGCTGCAATTAATTGCACTATTATCTCCTAATTTTTCACTGACTTGTGTTTTACGTCTGTCATGAGTCTAGTTAAAATGAGCAGGTCTTGGGCTGTCGGGTTGGGAAAAATTCTCCTTCTTGCTGACATTTATTAAGCGTCCCTTGTTATTTAGCAAGCACATAAACTAATCCAGTAATTCCACAGTGATTGTGTACGGATGGAAATCCATGCATTGATATTGAACATTAATCTGCAGATTTATTGAGGTTGAGCCTTTCTAACTATCATAATAAATATAGAAAAAAGCTGCAGAAGGGAGAGATAACATTATTTGAGTTTGGCAAGTGATGACCATAGTGTAGTCAAGCTGGCAGATGACCCTTTTCTACTTTTTGTTGATTGCTCACATCTCCCATAAGTAAGAGTTTTATCACACAGCCGTAACAATGTGATCAGTCTTCCCTTAAATGAACAGCCAGTGGCCTCCTGTGAGATATGCGGCTACCTTATCTCTGGCATTACTTTAGTAATATAAGGAAGTTCGTAAAACTCCTAATTCTCCTCAGCCTGGGAAACCGGTATCAGATCTCACCATCTATCTTCCCTTTTGGTACAGAAATATACGGCGCATTTTACATTTGATCTGAAGAAAAAAAGCAGCCAGACTCCTCTGAAATAAATTGTGAGATGGGATTTTTCATCTATAATCACAGCTGGCTGCACAATGGTTCAGCACTGCTGCCTCACAGCTGTAACTCCCAGCTGAGACCTCCCCGTTTAGAGTGTGTGTGCTCTCCATTTGTATACATGGGTTTCTTTGGATCGTCTGGATTCCTTCTTCTGTCCATAAACAGGCACGAGGGAAATGAATGAGTCCAAATCGACCGATGGGGTGTGAATGGTTGCCTTTTCTCTGGTCCTCTAATAGACCGCCTCTTGCCAAATGGCAGCAATGGGCTCCACCAAGAATCATCTCCTAGTTGATTAAATCTAGGGGTCTTAATCAGCCTGCTGCAGGGCTTGTGCTGAGGAGCTGTCCCATTTATCTAAATCAGGTGTACTGGAGCAGGGAAACCTTGAAGACGTGCAGGACAGTGTGCCTTGAGGACCAGAGTTGGGAAATACTGCTTAAAGCAACGTACCAGTAAAACTACTTTTTACAGACTAAACTGATCAAGGAAAAACTTTAATTTTATAGCTTTTGTCATTATTTCTCATGCCCCTGAAAAAAAGCTGTCACAATCACTTCTTGATTTTAAATTAATTAATTAATTTCAAGTTGGATGTGAATGCTCAGAAAAGATTCTAAAGAAATGGAAGCTCAGGGTCTAATATTTGTACACACTCAACCATCAAATGACTGTATCTTGACTTATTTTGTAGTAGAATAATTATATAACATCAAAACTGATCCTACTTTTCAATTATTCTTCCAATGTGTATCCAGATATGAGCGTTTTCAATAAATAAACAGGAAATAAATGGATAAAGGATATTACTTATGATAGACTGAGCAATACATGAATAAATAAAGGTATAAAACAAACAATTTTCTGAAAACAATGAGATTGTACATCACCATTAGCACCGTATAAACACAAATGACTTTGACATCAGATAATTTATTCTGTTTTTATAATATTTTATAATGTGTCTATGTTCAGCAATCTGCAGAATTTATAGATCCTTGTGTGACGCAAAACTGAAGTGCCAATATCTTCCACAAATTATACAGATTTTTAATCAATAGAAGATGTTTAATATCAATAATGTCCTTGTAGACTTTGCTTCAGTCTGATGCCGAAGACCGCGAATTTGGGAATTATTTCCATAGCAAGTATAGCAAATACATCTATCAATTTTGAAGCCAATTATTTTTGTGCTGCTCTTTCCATTTATATTTAGGTTAGGTCCTGGCATGCAAAATTAGTGCTTGAGGCTACTAACAGCATGCTTTGCTCTAACTAACCAATGCTTTTTTTTTTTTTGTGGGGGAATTAATTAGTAGTGCCGGTGCAGGGAACAAAGTTTATATGTTCACTGTGTAATACGGACTTGATGGGCTGTTTAAGCATGAAATGAATTCCTCAGTTGGCAGGACAATTATCCATCCCAGTGCTCTGGGGATTGGATCGTTTTGCTGGCACCTGGTATTACAATTTAAAACGTTCTAAATATTCATAAAAAGCTTTTTCCTTAAAGAAAGCCTGTTTTGTATCTTCCAAATATGTGCACTAATAAAAAGGATAATCAGATGATTGATAATATTATATAGAGATTTAAAAGCTATAGTTCGCATAAGTGACTTATTTTCATGGCTCATCTTTTTGAAAGAAATCAAAAGTTCAACGTCTTTGAAGGAAAAGCTGTCATTGAAACTTAATCTGGCTTAAGCTGACACAAACAAATTGATATGTGAGTGATTTATCCCAACAACCCATGGCCTCCTCCACCCACCTATTTTTCAGCCTCTGTAAAACAACAGGCATATCCTTGGGGCTTCCATTCAAGATTAATCACCTTGTTTTGTAGACAGTCTATCTAGCGGATCAAGTGCCCGTCTGTCAATGTAAACCTTCCCCCTCGTTTCTTTTATCTTTCACATAAGTGCCATCACTGAGACTCCAGAGTGGCACATTTTCACATGAATTTCAGATAAGAAAAAATGTCTTATGGAGACAAAAGCTACGTAGGAGGAGAATAGGATGCAAGAAATACATTCTCTTGAGGTTGTTCAGTTGAAAGAGTTGACATGAATTTCTTGCAACTGCTTCAGAAAAGACTGCTGAATTTAGTAAAATCCTTTCCTATTAACTCCTTTGGTTTAAACTTTTAAAAGAAACGCACAGTAGATACATATCTTATGATATCACAACTATAAGCAAATGCAAAATGAGGAGTTAAAATAAACAAAAAAATGACAATTTTTGTGTTCTACTACTGAGCTATTCTCAGAGTTACTAAATTATCATTTTTTTATTATTCAATCTTAATGACAGAATATATGATAAAAGAGGGAATGAATATAACAATTACATGGAAAATACGCTTTAATCATTTTCAGAGCATGTTCTTGGTGTATAAACTAACTGCAAACTCAAAACTCAACCCTGACCGTTTTTATTAGTGGCTCTTCAGGTCTGGAGGTATATAATTCAGTCAGTAAATTTACAGTGGATCTCTTTTCCACTCTCCCAACTCAGTTAAATATCCAATCTCTCCCTCATATACACTGAACTACATGTTCAAATAATGCTACATCTTTTGTATGTCAGAAATAATTACTTCAATATTGAACAGCAGATGTCTGTGAAAGATAAATATTTCTCTTGACTGGAAACAAATTGGATAGAAATACAAGGACTTTATCAATTGATACGCGTTTTTTTAATTCCAGTTAAGGGATGGAAAAATTCAAACTTCAGTGATTGCATCATGACCAATCAGTAAAATGAACTGCTGAAATAATTGAAAAGCAGCCAATACAAGCTATAGTTCATACTTGCGAACCTATAAAAACAAAAACAAAAAATGGGCCAACAACAAAGCCAAGGATTTATGGAGGCTATATATCATATGGAGGCGTTGAGTTGAGTATAAATCTGTCAACTGGGCTTGACTTTCCTATGATGGTATAGTGTTGTCCTTCAGTTAGCATAGAAACACTATTGTAAAAAAAACAACAGAACTTACGGTCTCGATTAATAAAAGACAACTTTAGAGGAAGGAACACTATGTTAGGTCACATTCCCTAAAAAGCTGGAGCAGTTAGTTTGCTTAACTCAGCATAAACAGACAAAACAGTCAACAACTTTCTCTCCACTGTATAGGCAAAATGAGGCAGAATTTAGCCTGTTAGGAGGTATGATACCATAAGTAATCTGTTTCATTAAATGTGTTTTAATGTCTACACACATTTACTTTAAAAAAAACAAGTGTGGTTTATAGAAAAAATCCTTTATGTGCAAACTACGTGCTTGTTTCCAATTAGCACAGTGAGAGGTTGAGTGTCATCACAAGCTCACATTAGATAAAATGTAAACCCCTCCTCACATAAACTGGATATATTCAGATGCCAAGCGGAGATAAAGAGGCAGATCTACAAAAACCAGCAGGGCTATTTAGCAGACTGCACCAGCACATGTACCCATGCTGTTCCACTGACCACTGTTATCCACGACTTTACTTTGTAGGATTCCTAATTACACCACTTGAGACGACTCAAATGCTTCCATCGGGGCTGTTTCTCCTCTGTCTTTTGCATTTTCGACATATAATTCATCCCAAATCTTGACCTCAACATGTTGACCTCGAGCAGGTATCAGATATGCATAGCTTGTTAAGAGAGACATCAAAATATCTACAGTCAAGACAACCAGTATTAATCAAATTAATGTTGAATCCCTTGTTTTATGCTGAGATAATTTAGATACGGATAAAAAAAAAGCCAAACCCCAACCCTATCCAATTAACATGAATGAATTTATCTTTGTTTATTCAATTATTCCATGACCTACACGCAACCTCATAAGCTCTTAATGCAAACAGCAATGCCCCAGTTGTATAGTGCAGGACTAAATGAAAGGGGCTGACCTACAGGTCTCATGAGATTGTTCTCATCTCCCAATTAAGGCAAGGGAATGAGCCTTTTATATATAAGGTCCATTACCCTCCGTGTTAACTATACTATGATTCACTTGATCTGCATTCCATATCCAGCCAAGTCAATGAAGTCCATCGCTAGAGAACAAGATGATATCGATTTCCGTCCCCTTGTGGCTCAGCCTCATTCCTTTTGTAAACAAAGAAAAGATCTCAGGTCTGCGCTCGGTAACATTTCCGTCATTTTTTTGTGAGTGTCATTTCTGATCTGCTCCAGGCGTCTTATGGACGGCAGCAGCCTGACGGATGTGGAGCACTGAGGCCCTCTCTGTCATCGTTTGTTCTTCACCCTGCACACGGCGGCCTCGCTCCTGCCCTCACGTACGGCCATAAATCAGCGCTCTAAGAGCCGGGCCCCGCTCCGCCAGGCCCCCTTTCATTGATTACTCCGCACCGGGTAAGTGTAGCGCCATGAAGAGAGAGCCCGATTCAATTAGGTTGCCTCCGAGACAGAAATATGTAGCATATGTTGTCCTGGATAAGAGGAAGGAGTCCTGGTGCAGTGCGAAGAAGCTCATGATAAGGAAATAAAGGAGGATGTGACTGAGATAAAACCATCTGTTAGTATAACTCTGCACCATGTGTACGCTGATAACCGGTTTTTGAGATAAGTAAAAGCAAACGTGAGGTACATAAAAAGAAAGGGAGGGGTCGTTAATTTTGTCCTGCTTTAAATCTGAATTTTCAGTCCAAATTTTGAAATGTTCTATATTTTAGAATGTATGGTCAGATACAAAATGAGGTGTACAGTGCCACGTCCAAAACATCACTAAGAAAACTTCATTATTCTGACATGCGAAATTCCTCACATATTGTCAGAAATGAGCATGAGCTCTCGTCTAAAAGAAAAAAAAAGCATGTGGAATGAGATTTTTTTAAAAAGAATTTGAGTTATTTTGATTTTATAATTGGTTTTTGTCTTTTCATTTTTTCAATTTTCCCTCTAGTTTGATATCTTTTTTTATCTGTGGTTTCTTTTACAAATTCTTTTGACTTTGGAGTTTCTTATGTTTTTTCTTGGTTCCTCCTTCTGGGTTTTACTTTTATTAATCTCCCTGGTTTGTGTTACTTCCTCCCTCCTGTTCTGCACATCAGCCTCACTCCCGTCAACTGTGCTCATTATCCTCAGCTGCCATCATCCAAAAAATCACCTTCCTCTGTTTTCAAGCTCCTTGTTTTGTCTTAGCCCAATTCACAATTGTCACCATTGTTTTTGGCCAAGTTTATATGTGTTGTATTCCCAAATTAATTTCTCTGGTTTAGGTTTTTGTTTGCCTTTAGTATTATGTTACTGAGGTTGATTTTTTTAGGTTTTCTGACTTGGTCACCTTTTCTATGGGATTGTCTATGTGATACATTTAATATTTTCATTTATGATGGGGCAGTTGTGGGTCAGCAGTTTGATTATTGGCCATATGCTGAGTTTTCCTCTGGCATGGCAGTAAACCCTACATGGATTCTTAGTGGATTCCCTGGTATCTTTGTAAGTGGCTTCGGATAAAAACCTCTGGTAAATGGAATTTGTCTCCCATCTCCTGGCTGTTCCTGGCTGCATCTGGACCATAACGTGGGGCTCATATTTCGCTGTATCTGGACAAAAACACATCTGATAACTGCCACAATGTTCTTATATAATCCGTTTAAACACACCTGATAAAGGTGGTTCACACAGTCAGCAAACAGCAAAACACACACTCGTTGTTTGCAGCTTCAGATGGTGAGTGGAAGACTTCTTCCAGTGCAGTCAGAGATTAGTTTGAGTATTTCAGTTCAGCATTTCACCACATTTGTGTGCTCTAAAAGATTGTTTAGCTTTTCTCATTTTAGCCACTTTGTATATGACAATCAATTTTCTATTGCTTTTGGTCATGGACACTTTCCATCAACCCACAGAAGTGGCCACAGCAGCACTGTGACACATGACGTTGATTGTTACCATGCTGATGGATAAAATGGTTGCGAGTCATAAAAATGACAGTTTGTGTAAGTTATATATGAGATCTTAGAATACAGACAGCATTTAAACCTCCAGCATTGGCAAAGCACCAAAACATGATGCGATATGATGAATGAATTGGTCCTGTAGCTTCAATAATGTCCAAAGACTTTTTCAGCTTTATTCTAAGACCATAGACACGTAAAACTCCAGTGAGCAACACCATATTATGTAATTTGGTAAGAAATTGTGCTGCATTATTGGCATAGCACATAACGGGAAAAGTACGACCCAAATCCAGAAACAGACAGGCAAGAGATGAAGCAAAAGCGTTTTTGTAACTTTCAAAAAAGGAGTGGACGAAGCATGAAATTAGAAGATACAGAAAACTAACAACAAGACTGAACAGAAGTAAAGACAACAAAAAGCTCAGACTACGGCATGTAATTCAAGCTCTGATTGCTTGGGGGTTTGCTCAACACACATTGAGGCATCACAGTGGGGAAGTCAAGAGAAAGTTCTGTTTGTATCACTTCAAGTAACTTTATATTGGAATATTGTGTCCGTATTCAGCTGCTGTTTCTTTGGGACTTTACTCAGTGTTTTGTTGGACACATCCCAGGGCTCATGGTTAAAGTTAGTTATTCTAACTCAGGTGATTATGGCTTGGACCGGAAAAAATATTCTGATATCAAACATAACCTGGAATAATATCGGACATAAAAAAACCCCAGAGGGATTGTTTATGCACAGATCTCATTTCTTGCTTGCTTGCATGTCTTGTTGTGCTTAAAGGCATGAAACCAACATCACCAGTATGAATACTATGGATTTTATTTGTGAGATTGGGCCATCTGGAGGCAGTTATGGACCTGCCAGAATGGTGTTGCACCTCTTCCTGAACTTTGATCCATGTAGTTCCTCTATGCGTTGTGCTCACATAGTTGTTCTTATGCTAACATAGACATTTTGCCTGTCAGTGGATGTTTCAACGCCAAGTTTGTCAACTGTTGGTGTTGCAACAGCAGAGATGATGCACTGTGGAAAGGTACCACCAAAAAGTGTAAATATTACTGATTCTGGCGTTTTCCTGAAAAAAAAGTGGTTTGGTATTTTCATTTAAATGTCATGTAATGTCCATGGGACATATGAGGAAGGAGTAGAGTATTAATATCATATTATATTATATTAGTAATAGTTCAACATGCACAGTGATAAAAGGCTGAAGGGTATCTAATGGTAAGGGATCATCTCAAAGTAAATGCCTGCTCTTTAACAAGATTAAACAAGTACGTAAATGTCTGGACTGTTTATGTTGATATCTGCTGTCTGTCCATGGTGTTCTTAAAGTTTGGAGCAAATGTGGAATCATTTGCAGCATGAAAGATAGAATAAACAATAGACTTGTCTGATGTATAATTTACCCATTCATTTATCATTGAGAGCATTGTAGTCCAGTTATGATCAACTGAACTTACATAAAAACTTTTACTCACATTTACTTTGACTTCAGACACATTTACTCCAAATGTGCAGCACTTTGCAAGAGGAGAAGAGGAATGAATGTTTCATTTTACTGAAAAGCTGAGAGAAAAGAACATTAGCCAGGACCTAAAAAGACTGGGCGGGTAAATAAACCCCTTATGTAACGGTTGACAAGTCAACACTAAATACACTCATCCATATTTTAGAATTAGCATATCAGAATCTGGGTTCATCCTCAGATGAAACAATGAGCTTTTCCATGTCAGAAGCCTTGATTTATGGGACAGCATGTGTTGTATATAGCCTATCAATCATGCTGTCTTCTGTTGCACGAGAAGATATCAGCCCGGATCAGACTGTGAGCCCCGCTTTTATTCACTAAACATCCTTTATGGCTGCTGCCCAGGTTTTCCCCAAATCCATCGATTGAGTTTCACCAGGTTTGGCCAAATGCCAACAGGCACATGTGTACGTGTTTGGCTTATGTTTTCTTTTAGTTTTTTTTTCAATTCATGGTATTTTCAGCCACCAAAAATACATTTTAAAATGAGTATAACACTGGAAGTCCACTGAGAAAGTGAGCATCTGTCATTCAAAGCACACACCAGGGGCAGAAAGAGGGCCATTCATTTTCTACAGTTGCCACTGTGATCTATACTCCTTGCCGGAGAACTTCATCCAGCATCTACCCCTGGCAGTTCACTACCTGCTTCCATTTACAGTTTACAGCCAGTTAACTGCAAATGGATGTCTAGTCACAGAGTGGAGAAACATGACAAATCTACTTAAATGATCAAATACTCATGCAACCTCTAACAGATTATGTTAGTTTAGTGTAAAGCTTTCTTTAAGAAACTTAGCAGTGGGTTCATCATTATGGCTCAGGACACATTTGTGCTAACACAACACACACTGTCACAGGTTTTACATAAAAAAGATTGTTTGATCCAGCTCAGTCTGGATGAATACTATCGCCCGTGTTAGTTTTGGTGCATGACTTTTGCAGGGTGTACACCACCTACAGGCCAATGATACCTTGGATGACTTTCGGGTGATAGATACAAAGATTATGACTTAATTATTTTAATCTTTTTGCATCATCAGCACTATTTTTACTCACTAATAACATGTTTTAAGTTTTTTCTGTTCTGTATCATTGGTAACTCTTGTTGTATGTGTCCTTTGACAAATGAGTAAGGCTCATACCACATTCAGATAGAAAGCGTTTAACTCCAAACGAAACTGGGCACTTGAACCAGTCAGCAAGCTCAGACTTTTTCTGCATAAGTGGAATTTTAAAGAGGTTTCCTAATTTCCATCTGAGAGGATCCTGTTCTGCCAAAATCTGAGTCATACTTTTTGTTACAGAGCTAAACATCTTGATACTTGAAAACGTATATTTCTCAAAGTTTTCAGTCATTTTCAACCAACATAGGGCAAGGACAAAGTAGGCTGTCATGCCATTTTAATGAGGTTGTTTGAGTGATTTAATAGTAACGCAAAGTTGTCATAAGCAGTCAGAGAATGAAAGATAGATGGATTAATGGATGGATGAATGAATGTATAAATGAGGGATGGATGGGGGAGTAGGTTCTTAGGTAGGTATGTAGATAAAGGTGTGAATAGAAAAAAATATCTATTTATAATAGGAATATTTAAAAAAATTGATAAAAATCAATCAAACAACTAACACTAATTTAATATATTTAAATAGTACATGATTAATTAGAGTTAAAAAGTAAGGCCAAGATATAGTAGGAGATGAAAATAAAAAGGTGGGTGGAAGTGGGTGTCTGGTGGGCCAAAGTGTCTGCTTGTAAAATAAGACGCTGCAGACACTTAAAACAATTTAAACAGTTTAGGCTGATTAGACAGTTCTTTCCTTTATCATAAAAAAACGACAAAACACCACCAGAGCACTACATTGCTGACATTTAAAACGCCATTCAGTTTATCACCATTTAACAGATTTAAAAAATCTCTTTTACTATCAGGCTCAAACAAATCATATATTACACATATGATACAAAAACAGAAACCTAAGTGAAAAATGCTTTGAAAACTGAGCTAAAAGCTGGTAGGGCCACAAGAGAGAATAATCTGGAGTGAGTGTCTGGGTTTATTAAAAAAAACAAAAAAACAGCGATAACTCATCGCAAAGCTGAAAGGATAAATAACATCTTGGTAGGGAGCCACATGGAAGCAAAAACAACGAAGAGGGGAGGGGGACGGAGCGTGCCCGAGGGTCGGTCTAAGATTCCTGCGCTGATCGGGGCTGCATGATGCGGGACAAGAGAAGAGAGAGAGAGAGGAAGAGGAGGAGGAGAGGAAGGAGGAGCGACTGAGAGAACGGACTGGCAGGGGCTCGCGGCTCTCACTCTCTTCTGCGAGCTTCGCCAAGCAGCTTCTCTTTTGCCTTCCTTTCTCTGGCTCGCACGCAGCAGGCGGCTTTCCAACTCTTCCCGAGCTTCCTGATCCGACTAGAGAGAGAAAGCAATAGCGGGGAGCTCATTTCGCTCGCGCCATGCTGCCCTGGAGAAGGAATAAGTTTGTTCTGGTGGAGGACGAGGCCAAGAGTAAGCCCAAGAGTCTGGGGAGCGGGCTGACCTACCACTCCATCCTCTCCTCCCTGCTGCGCTCCTGCCCCGACCTGCTGCCGGACTGCCCCTTCCACTGGGTGGGCAGCCTCTTCCAGACCAAGCGGCAAAAGGTGGAGCTCAACAAAGAGGAGCCGGTCTACAACGTGCGCTACCTGGGGAGCGTGGTCACCATCACGGCGAAGGGGGACGGCTGCACGCAGGAGGCGGTGGCCAAGATCTGGGTGAGGAGCAACTACGGCGAGCAGAGCGTGAAGATGAGGTTAGCGGTGGGTTCGCAGGGCATCCGGATGAGCGCCGACAAGTCGGGGAAGAAGAAGCCCGTCCACCTCTACTCCCTGAACAGGATCACGTACTGCGCGCCCGACCCCTGCCGGCCCAAAATCCTGGCCTGGGTCTACAGGCACCAGGTCAAGAACATGGCCGTGGTGCTCCGGTGTCACGCCGTCCTGGTCGGCAAGGCGGAGAAGGCCCGGGCCATCGCCGGGCGCCTGGACCAGAACGCCGCCTCGGCCTTCAGCGAGTTCAAGCGGCTCAAGCGCCAGAGCGACTTCCGCCACTGCCAGCAGCAGCTGCTCGGGGAGGAGGCCGTGCCCCTGATGCCCCTGAGGAGGCTGCTGAACGGCCAGTGCCACTACAGGCCGCCGGCCGAGAGCCCCGGGACCGCCGCCCGCCTCTGCTCCATCACAGAAGAAGAGGAGGATGAGGAGGAGGAGGAAAAGCACAGCAAAGAGGGCAGCGAGGAGGCGGAGGAACTGGAGGAGAGCGTGGAGCTGCAGCAGGAGAAGCAGAAGGTTCTGACCACAAACACAGACCCGACTCAGCTTTTATCCGAGCTGGACATCGGGGACATCGCCCAGCTGGAGCAGTGCCAGATCAACTTTGTCAGCGACAGCAACAACAACACGTTTTCCTTCATAACCTCTCTGGTGTGACTCTAACGCGATTTCAAAGAGAACAATGACAACATTCCTGTCTCTGCCCTCCCCAGATACCCCCTCCCCTCGTCCACGTAATGTGAAGCGTTTACCGGAAACTTCTCCCAGGAGAAGACAGGCCGCGGTTCCTCGGGAAGGATTCCTGCTCTTCCCAGATGGCCGGTTTGACTGTAGCAGTTTGGGGAAGCTGCTTGTTTACAAGTGAGTGCTGCCGATGCACAGACTTAGCGACAGCACAATGAGGAACGAGGACACCGGTTACAGAAAAAAAACACAACAGCTCCGACGCTGACATCGCCCACATGCGGGCCACATTCTGATCACATCGCCCAGCAGGATGCATTTAGAAGTCCAATGTCTTTTTATTGTCAGGAGTTTCATTTCGAGGCGTGTTTGCCAGCAAGGGGACTTTTTTTCTGATGGAGTCTTTCTATTTTTTCAGGGAGCTTCTTTGTAAATTTGTGTAATTTTTCTAAAATGACAATCCTCACTGATATTGTTCACAGACAGACCTTTCTAAAAGAGCTCACGTTTGCGAGACGTTTATAACGGTTTTACCAACGATTAGGGCCGACCAATGATCAAGGCTAAGATTCAGGAGGTAAGCCATGGAGTCGGCACGTTTACCGCTGTCATCTGTTACGACCCTTATCCTTTATGCATGGAAAGTCAACGGTAACCATTTCAAGCTTTGCTTTTGACTTCCTCTTCATGTGACATCTCCTTTGGCTTTTGAAATAAACACTGTGATAAAAGTGTGACCAGGGACAAATATGTGACTCCCCGTGCAGCACCTTTCAATCTCTGAAAAGCATATTTTTTTTACATATCTATTGCAGTGATTTTTACTTTGTTTTTTGCTGCCTTTGCTGTGCCCTTTTGAGCCACGTCTTTGCAAGTTTTTCCCACAAGCCCATGCAAAAATGCAGATGGGGCCTCAAATATTGAACTCAAACTGTTATGTAAATGGTTATCCAATTTCTTATCTGTGCTTAACGTGTACTACTGTCTCAAAACGCATTGTAATTGCAACAGGATAAAGCTATTTATTTTCCAAATGAGATGAATAAAACTTGCCTTCACTTTGGTTTTACTTCTTGAATCTTGACGGGGGGATCATTTCTAGATTTTATCAAAGGGATTATTCAAATGAATGCAGACTTTGCATCCCACTGGTACGCATTAGCATGCTTGTGATGTGTCTAACCTACGATTCAAGCGCAAACATATTTATGCCAGTTAATTCTGCTCCCTGTGCAGAAGTAAATAAAATATAAAAAGACAGATGTATCCGAGAAACGAGACACCGTGCCAGCCCTAAACTGCTGGTTTCATAAGACATTAATGTGGTCTAAGGGCCTCGTCAACCATTTTCGTAGTTTCACTCTAAAGGGAACAATTAAATAGAAATGTTCAGAAAATGAAGGTAAAGCACCTTGCTCAGCGGGACAGCTGTCAGGCACTGATTGTTCCGAGTGATCCAAAACGGCAACCAGGAAGTTGACTCACCCCTTCAACCTTTTTATAGCCAGCCTTATCCATTTTAATGAAGCCAGAGCCTTTAAGCTGCATAACCGAAATCCAGACGAAAAATATGTAACTGAAGCGTGTTCCTGTGATGGTGTTTTGCAGCTGGGCAGTTTTCCCCCCCCTAGTATTAACAAGAATGAATGAATATTTAATGCCCCACATTTCAGCATATCATCATGCATTGCAGTGCCATAAACTGATAAATGCTGTGAAAACATTAAAGGTAAAAACTATTTAGAGATTCCCTTTCACCACATCAAAAGGTGGTTGATTTGGTTTACCTCATTTGGAATTCTCCTTTTGAAGATGAATAGATTCGGCTTTGTTGACTACAAGACAACATAACTGTTCAGTTGCTTTGAATTTCTGAGAGAGATTGTTCTGAGGGGATAGATTCAGCTGGAACCTGTGAGATCAATATTTTTCCTTCCACGAAATAAAGTAGTCCCAAAAGAGAACAGCATCCAACCTCTGAAGAGATACCTATGAACTCATCACAGACTCATTTATAACGATGATTATATAATCTTAATGCTTACTTTCTTGCATTTTATTCTTTTTTTGAGACAGTCCTGCTCTACATAGATAGACGGTCACACAGTATGATAGAGTCCCTCTCAAGGCTTACTGACATTCATGGTGTATTGTAAGTGACATGATGCCAGTGCAATACTAACAGAGGGCTTTGCGGAGGAGTGCGCTTTTATGGAAACATAACTCTTGTCAGATAAACAGAGAAGAGGGAGCAGATGGCGCACATTGAGTTTTATACAGCCAGCTTCCAGAACAACAAGGGCTTTCGGCCCAGATCCAGGGCATGTTATAAATGTGTCACATCGGCAGCTGCATGAGAAGTGTTGAAAAACCGAAAGGAACATAAAATCTCATCAAACGGGGCAGACATTGGCTTGTCGAGTAAGACAAATAACAATGCTATGAAAATGTAAAGCCTTTGGGGATTCAGAAAAGCTTCTTCCCATTCTGCTCTGGGGGTTTCACTTGTCACGCGGTATCCATGAAAGTGACACAAGATGAGTGACGGCATCATCACCATCATGAGGAGAAGGAACAAAAATGCTGTTTTCTAAAGCATCTGGCAGAAGAGAGCAGTAAAAAGCCTAAAAAGAAATAGGGTGTTTAAAGTTTTTATTGCTGACTGTACAGATTATTTCATTAAACCATAACAAAACAAAACAAAAATAAAGAAAGAATGGAATGGCTCCCAGATTGCCTTAATTAGATCTTTGTAACGTTCTTGGAAACATCCTGTTAACAAGTTACCGGTATGCTGAATCCCATTAAGGTCCAATATTGTTTACGCACAGAATAACTATATTCTGTTTCACTCTGTTCGGAGAGGTGATACTTAAGCCTGTAAAATGAGGTCAGGGCAATACTCTAGTTCTTCTCCTCTGTACATGAGTAATACATGAATATGGTAACGGGGCCCAGCCCACACTCCACCCACCAGAACCAAGAACCAGCACTCCCTGTGCTAGTTTGGCAAGAATTCACATTTGTATTAGTCTAACTAAGCCATGTTTATATATATTAGGAAGTATCATAAAGAGGGGATCTTCACATTCTATCCATTTGGCATCTGGTCCAGAGGCCAGTCAGGCTCACATATGCCAGCTAGCCTGGCAGCCATTGAGTTAGTTCAATTTCTGAGGCTAAACCTAAGAGTAACAAAGTTAGCACACGGCTCACTTGAAGCTTAGTGGTGGTGACTTGGCTCTGCTCCTAGCTCCTGCTTTTTCCCTTGCTAGGGATATGGTGAGCCCCCTTCGAGTCAGCCTCTTCCAGGACCTCCTCAGGCGTTATGTCTGCTTGCTCAGCACTGGTTCTACTGTGTTTTACACCTAGCCTGTTACCTTCTCATCAGATTAACAGATTGTCATTGAATCTGTTAGCCTCAGCGTGTGCTGATTAGCAGCCCTACCCCAAGTAGACAGGGTTGATTGGTTTCCTCGAAACATCAACTTTAATAAACAAGAGGTCCGGCCTCACTTTTCGTCAGCGTTCGGTGGAACTCAGCATGACAAGACTGGAAAAGTACAAACGCTGACCATTTTGTAGATCTTTGCTAATGTCACATACTGCATGAAGCAATCCAACAAGTCTTAGATTAATAATAAACTCAGATAATCAGCAGCAGGATACATTTATTCTCATAAAAGAATGGCAAGAATGCATTCCTTTTAACTCACACAGCATGGCAATGTCGTAGCTTTTGTTGACCAAAGCTTGGACATTGTTAAAATAGGATGTTTGACCTTTAAATTCCTCATTTGAATACAAGGCTGATTGCAGTGTCTCCTAAACTTCAAAGCTAAGAGGACTTGATTGCTCTAAGGATCCTTCAATAGGGATCATGTGAATGCACAGGGACAACATGGTGAATTTTAACAAGAAGATTGTTCTTAAAAAACCTTCAAAAAGGGGGTTGCTAAAAAAGGCCATCACAAAAGCAAACATGTTACATTTTATGGGCAATGAAGCACCACAGACTGCTTAAAATAGTTTTAATTAAAAAGACTTAATGATGGTTTATCTGTGTAATGTGCAGAATTTTTCAGAAAATTCAGATGTGCTGTTTTTTTATGGACATGGAGCCATGCTCCTCTTATGGTAGAGTCAAAGAAAGTTCCAAGTTTTAATGATATCATAAGAGCTGGCAAGAGTAATTTTCCATGTTAGGGAAATTTCATTCCACTCCCCTAGTAAAAGGTTGCATATCTGGCAACATGGAGGCACACTGAGTTGTGTTTTGCTCAGTATTGCTGTCAAAAATTCAACTGATGCAGAAGAAACTCTCAAATGACAAACATGCGAGACACAAGACAGAAATAGATGATTTAGACTCTGGATTTCTACAGTTCCATACATGCCTCACGATGGTTGGTTGAATCAAAATCCCCAGATAGAGTCTGTAAGTGAACGACAACACGATAGACCGTGACGTCAACCTGGTGTTAAGCAATCATCTTCTGTGAGTAATTGCAGGGATTAGTGCCTACCAAGAGCTCCTTGATATTCTTTTTATGATAACAATGCGATCAGGAACACCTGGAACAGTCTGAGATGAGATCTGAAAAAGAAATCAAGCCTCAGGACATGCATTTCGGTGGGATTTATTAATGTTTATTAAATGTTTCTTACATCTTTGCAGTGTCTATTCTCCCTGAAGATGTAGATTAAAGTGCCCAAAAATAACTGACTCCAACCTTTGCAAAAAAAGAGGAAATTATCTTTAAAGGTTTTTGTTGGTTGTGCTGAAAAGGACGAGTGGGGAAAATGAATCACCCCTTTACACGGAGCCCGGAGTCTCTCTGAGAGAACAGTACGTATCGCTCGTTCTCTGACGACACCGGGGGAGCCATTGAACACAATAATTATGAAATCAATAAACTGCAGCACAGGTTTGTGTTTTCAGTGTTCTTCAATGTTCCCCAGTTGGGAGTGGTGCGGTTTACGTCCTTTTGGTGTCTAATTTGTTTTGTGGTTGTGGTGATTCCACTTTATTGATCGTAGGTGTGCAGTCTACTTCCATCAGTTCTGACACCGTGTGTTGGATGAGGGCTGTAATCGTGCACTGATGTCAACTGCCCTCAGACGTGACGGTAATGAAGATGTCATAAAATAAAATATATAAAACTATCTATTGCTAAGATGGTGGGCCAGCTGGCACACAGAATGAAACAGTGAATAGTAAAAAGTTGGAACTCTGAAAAGTTACAATAATGTCTGGTCAGTCATGTTTATCAGTTTAGAGGACTTCCAGCCTCTTTCTTTATATAGAACATGTGAAATACATATATACTCACACAAATATTTGTTAATGTCGCAGGAATTGTTAAATCCAACACAAAACATAACACAATTTGAGCCCAAATAATTGCTTTTATCGCTAATACTAACTCACTGCAACTGCAAATAATGTGTGACTGAAGGAACCCCTCAACTCTATGGGAGACATTTTTTCATGGCTTTGAGATTTAGTCAATGACAAAATAACCGTACATTTTCTTTACAGCCACTTATTCCAACCCAGTGTCAAAAAGAGGCATTGAGCCTATCACAGGTGTTACTGGGTGAGAGGCAGGGTACACCCCATACAGGTTATCAATCAATCCCAGCCCACCTAATAACTCAATCCAGTTCAATTTTATCTTAAAGTAGAATCACATGACATCTCAAACTGCTTCAAATCCAGTTTAAGCTACTTATGAGTTGTATTAATTATCCTTCTTATCAAAAAATATTTTTCAGTTAGTGAAAAACTGAGGTTGATATTGTTGTTTTTTCCTTCTTTGTAGAATCAATTCTCCTTTTTCCGTTTAGATCTGAAAGAGACTGGTTATCACCACTGTTGGATCTGTGAGAGTTTACGTAAGTATAAGTGTTGATCCAGGCAGAAATATACATGGGTGCATCAAGGACAAGACTGAAATACTGAGATTTTTTTCTGCCACAGACCTTAAAACACCCACTCTGTCACTGGTTTGGTCTGCCCCCTGCTTTATATTTTTCATAAACATGAGTTGTGAGGAAGAACCAACTAATTATTTTTTATATCTGACAAACTACTCTGAAGAATGAAACTTATGATTTAATCTGATCTGATATCATAAGTAATCTTATAATTATTATTTATTTATATTTATAAAATAGCTTTACATGAATAAAACTTTAATTAGTTCAAGTTGGAATGGATTAACCCTTTAACATCTTATTCAACTATTTAGTAGAACACATTTTTCACCGATTCTACTTGGTCATAGGTCACACTGGAGTAAGTGCACTTCCCTTAATAAGCTTAGGTATGTCATGTCTAAATTAGGCATAGGTTATGACAGTTATTTTACCATAAAGTGTTACCCCAACTATCTTTAAAAAAGACACAGATGTTGCTGCTCCAAAGAAATAAAAAATATACAAACAAATATTTACCTGTCCTTTTTTCTACAAAACAATATTACAGACGTGACTTTACTGGATGTTCACCACAACTCAGTAAACCAACATTGATTTAAATTATCATCTTAAAAGTCATTGCACAGCATTCTGATGCCTTAATACAGCAATGATAAGATTAAAACATTGCAAAAGCAGAATTTGGATCTACCTGCCTTATTGTACAATCTATAATAAATTCATTTTCAGTCTTAAAGAAAAAGGAATAGAACAATTAATCAATTCATATTTGGCTCAAAGGCACACAGATAGAAAAGCCTCACACCAAAACTGACTTCCCAGAATGTTTAGGACTTTTAATAGTGTTTTATGAGATGGTCCTCATGTGTATTAAAGTGAAGCTTCTCGATTACAAAAAAGTGAAATGATAAGTGTTATCAGAGTTCTTCAGGTGTGATGAGGGCAATGTCATCTAAAGTCAGCTAAAGAGAAAATGAAAGCAGCTCAGATAATTTCATGTTTGTTGTTACGCATATGGAAAAGCATCAGTAGACATTCAGCCGCGGTCCAGCATTGTTTTCCTCCTGGATGAGTGTGAAATAAGAGGTTAAAAAGATATCTCTGTGAGTTTGTGCTTTGCTTCTGAATCGAGTCCCCTTTCAAGTCTGATTTCTATCTTTGCTTAGCTCCTTTTGAACTTCAGAGAAGATAATTGCTAAAGTTGTGTTAAAGCTGTGGGAGGAAAGTTGCAGACGTAAATTCTCGACGCATGCGGTGAAAGCCCAACTTCAGACAAATCCCTGAATGCTTTTGGATGCAGACTAACCAGCAGACACACGAATGGTACACGGTCTCACCCTTTTTTCTTGCATTAAGCAAGAAATTGTTTTCCTTTAGGACACACCTTAAAGGACGGAATTATTTTTTGTTAGCTTTCTCTCCTTTAATTCCACTTTCCTGATATTAATAACATACACAGTGTTGCAATAAAGTCTACCTATCATTCCATAAATCATTATTTGCTCTGTTTGAAGTCAATAGGTACAATATTCCATTCATACCCTTTGCAATTGTGGTATATATTTTGGAATATATATATATAACTCTTACAAAACAGCAGTGAGCAATAGGAAAGTAATTGGCTCCAGTTATTTTCTCATTTACCATTATTCACAAAAATAGACGGGCGGCCTTTACTGTTTAGCAGTAGGTCTCTGAGGTCAGCCGGATGTCTTTTGCCTTGTTCATGTTTCAGTGAAATGGATGACTAATATGATGACCTAACGGTAGGACTGTGCAGAAAGTTCTGTGAAACTGAAGAAAACAAAGCTCCATCACTAAGAGAAAAATATCCCTATCTACCCCCGAAAGCATTTTGTTGGACACAGAGGAGGCAATCAGTCCGGCATCCGTTGGTTCCCCTGTTCCCTATTACCCAGGGAACGGTGAGACAAGGCTCCAGAGTGCAATCACTTAGACACACACACAGTGAGAAAAGAAAGTAGGCCAAGCCACTCATACACTGGGCACACGCACGCACACACACACACACAAATGCTCGTGCAAGACTGGAGGCTTTTCATTTAGTGAGACGGTGTTTGAGGATGAGACAGGGCTTTTTGGTTTTGTCTGATGATCTACAGAGAGTGGCAGGTGGATGAAAGGGCAGGAGAGTGGGTGGACTGGGATGCATGTGAGTGGGCAGGCACGTGGAACCGGGGAGGCTAGCTGTGGCCAAAGTATCTGACAAACAAGAATTCACAAACACATGCAGGCCACCCTTCTGCAGGCTATTAGAGGCGACAAATATGGATTTCATATGTAATTTCCTTTCAGCTTGACCCAACTGCAGCATCGGTGACTCATGACTTCACCAGTTCCTGTCAAATCTACACATAAAAACAAGAGAGGACTGCAAAGTTGTTGGTTACATAAGGGAACCTTGCACATTTCTAAAGAGTTTACGACAAAAGATATTTATTGGAACCGACAGTAGAAGGATTTTGTGCATATTTTAGTGTAACGTGATACAAAAATCAAGCCAAACATCATTAGTGAAGGAAAACCACACATGCTTAAACTTTCATTAATCTAATTTAGTGGGAATCTCACTTTCTCAATTTGAAGACGTGTAATAATCTCTTAAAAAGAAAAAAGGCTGCGGCCTTCTGCCTAACGAAGGCAAGCTAACAAGGAAACAAATAGCATTTGACTCATATGATGATGCACGGTATGCTCTCCGAATCTGAATTCCATTTCATGTTTAAACGATACAGCCTTTCTCCTAGATTGTTGTTGGCATGTTGGGCAGCTTTCCAACATTTCTCTTTTTCTCTAAATTAGAGAGAGATTTAAGTTTTTATAATTGAATATGAAAAATTACAGAGTGCATTCAGGGAAAAGAGCTCACGTCATGTCGGCGGCTACAAAAACATCTGGCACATACTGCAGAAGAAAATAAGGAATCTGTTTACGATTGATCCACAAAGGGCTGTCCCCATACTATATCTATACACATAGGGATGAAAAATCTGGAGGCTGGGAGGATGACCAGTCACTTGCTCTTCAGAATCTTAATTCGAAATCTGTGTCAGTCCATTCATCTATAAGCAGTTATAGATATATATATAAGCCATAAAACGAATGTCCAATAAATGTGGCTCCGATCCTTCTACTCTTTGAATGATGCATCGGGGAGGAGTAGAGAGATGAATCGTTCATTATGGCCTTTTTCAGCTATGCCTATTTTCTTGGTTTTATTATCTTTTCTTTTGAGCCGAAAATTCTTATAAAAGAAAACTGTCTTTGTGTGGACTATGAGACAAGAATGTGTCTATTTGTGTTTGCAGAAGCAAATCAATAGGTACTGTCTATTGCAAATGTTTGGTTTGCATGTAGTTGGCTGCAGAAGGATCTGAATGATCCTTGTTGATACGTGCATAGGACAAAATCAACATTACATAGGCCTTATGCATGAGCAGAAGGTGAAATAAAGATGAGCTACTGGGTTTGTTTCATGAACTAAAATGTTTTAAGCAAAAAATTCAATATAAACTATCACAAAAGCACAAATGTAATAACAGAATAAAGAAAAGAAAGAATTTGGATATTTGCCGCATTCCTCAAGCTTTGTCATCCTCCTAATGTCTGCGTAATCAGATACATTTGGTTCCACTTATTTGTTGTTTTACATGCAGGTCTAATCCCTTTTGCTTTTTTCGTAACAGTGTTTTTTTTTTCTTCCCGTTCGGGATCAGGAGGATGTCATTATCAGACCTGACTTTCTCTGAAGAGTACAGCCTCAGAGTTG